TATTTGAGAGAAATAGGCCTTTTGTGTACATAGAAAAAGTCTTAGATCTTTGAGTTCAGTTCATGTAAAATGGGGGCAAAAACAAGTGTTGCGTTTATAATTTTGTTCAGTGTAGTTGTATCTCGGCCAAATATTGTTCTGTCCTAACAAATCATACGTCAATGGAAAGCTTATTTATTCAAAAAAACATTTACCCTTATGACTGGTTTTGTGGTCCAGGGTCACATTTTGTATTTTGCCTGCAGGCTACTAATAATTAAACTGTTTAAAGCTTTTACCTGTCCTTTAATCTGAGCGTAGATGAGTGCCCTCTGACCCTGGAACAGAGCACTGATGGGTGGGGACAGCATTTCCACCGTCACGCCCTCAGGAACGGTCCAGTCCACAGAGATATTATCCACGGCCGGCTGAAGAGCAAACCTGAGTGACTGCATCACCTGATGGAGAAGAGAATTTAACACCCTAAACATCTTATACTGACCATCCAGTCTGTTTCGGCAGCAAATTATCTTACTTTGGGCTGCATGCGGTCAGTGCCTGTGATGAACTGAGCGTGACCTGAACCTTCTCTGGCCATTCCTGTGACGAGAGCCGTACTCGCACCCTCACCGATCCCAAAGGAGAAACACCTGCAGACACAAGAGCAGCTCCAGTGCTGAGCTTCTGACATTAACTAACACTGGAGTAAATGAGGAGGACTGAGACGAGTGAACACACCTGTGAGAGAAAACCTGACTCTTCACCAGATCCAGCACCTCCTTAGTGTTCCACACCTCTCCATCAGTGAAGACGAACAGCTGAGAGAAAATCAGCCTCAGGATGAGAAAAACACCTCTCCGATGTTCAGAACGAGTGTTTAGTGATTAAAGCATTAGCTCACTTCCAGAATAAACATTTCCTGATCATTTACTCACCCCCATGTCAAAGATGTTCACGTCTTTCTTTCTACAGTCAAAAAGAAATTAAGGTTTTTGAGGAAAACATTCCAGGATTTTTCTCCATAAAGTGGACTTCAATGGTGTTCAACGGATTAAAGGTTAAAAATGCAGTTTTAACAGTGGTGGGCCGTCAGGTCCAGCAAAGCCTTCTCTGCTGGCCTAAACACTATCAGAATCACTGACAAAAGCCCTATTCGCACGGGATTAGTATTATCTGGGGACCTTGTGTGATTTTGAAATTACCCCCCCACATCTGAATTTCGTGTGGTGCATTCGCACGGGATAAGCGAAGCCTGTGATTTTACTCGAATTTACTGACTTATCTCCCGGATACCCGGATGTCAAGGCTTTGAGAGTCCCGTTCTATGGTCCGGTTAGATGGATTAAAAAAAAAAAAACTAATATAGTTTCGTGCCCTGTGTCATTTACATTTCACCAGGTTAAAATAGTATCTCAAGCTTTATGCTTGATTTATTTGTAACACATTAACCTGAAAACCTTTTCAGCTTTCTCTTTCTGCAAATTGTATGGGGTTTCAAAAGACCAATACAAGTGTCAAACATTTTTTCCATAATAACCGAGTAGAAAACAGACCAAACACTGTGCTGTAACAGTAAAAGAGCACTTCTCTTTGCAGAACTTCCCCTCTCTGTCATTCTGTACTCGCCGAGTTTCAGATATAATGAAGACGGAAGATGAACAACAAGACAATTATTTTTGCACGCAGATTAAAGCGCCATCCATCATGTTTAATAGCCTCTTTAAGATCGGCCCACATTCAAACTCGTGCTGTTTATTCTTCAAGGTTAAATTATGTCTAAGGGGAATAAACTGCAACCAGGTTGAATCGAGGAGCACGTCAGACGTGGCACAAGGACACGCTAACCGAGTACTCCGGTGGACTGGGATGTGCTACTCCGCTCCTAATGTATTCATTACCGAGAGGTGACTCGCGCCGTGAATCGTGTTGGCAGCTCACAGGTGTTCGTCTCTTTCATTTCTTCTGCTCCCGTTCTTGTTTTCCGCCTCGCTCATATTGCACGAGCGCACACGCAGGCACAGGCGCACATGCCCGCAGACGCGTACAGCTGGTTTGTTGTTGTCGCAGGTCTGAAAAACAAAGCTTCAGCAGATGGTTGTTTTAGTGCCAGAGCAAAGAGGATCTACAGTTCCGTCACCATGGTCACACACACGTTTACACTCACACTCACTTTGTCTCTGTCTTGCCTGTCTCTTTATTCTCTGTCTCTCTCTCTCTCTCTCTGTCTCTGTAATGTTTATCAAGAATATGATCCCCTCTGAAAGTGTGTTACTGTCCTGCATTCTGATTTAAAGAGAGCAGTGGCACGTTTTACACACGCACCTACACCTTACCTTGCTATTTAAATGAGGACACATCTAGACATCTGTTGTTTTTTATGTATCAATTAGTTCTTGTCCGTGAATTTTATTGGTCTAGCAGCATTGTAAGAGTGCTGGAATTAGTTGAACAGCACTTGGGATGTTTCACTCAGCTTGGCGACATGGAAAGCTTGATACTTTGGCTTTTATTGAAAGTGTTGTAGAAAAAAAATTATCTAAGAGAAGAACCATTGCAAATAATGTTTAAACTCCTCACTTATTTTTTTACCAAGTAAATTTATACAAATTTATAAATGTTTAACCACTACTGTTTATACACTGTCATACTTATTAGGTGTTTTTTGTTTGTTTTGTCCACTTCTGGCATATTATGGCTAGTAAAAATAAAATAATGATTTTGATTTGAAATTAATTTTGTTTGTTTGTTTTTCAGTTATTTATATCTAATATTTTTAGTACTGTCAAATCGATTAATTTTGATTATTCACATCCAAAATAAAAGTTTGTGTTTACATAATATGTGTACTGTATATATATATCAGTGGTGGGCCGTCAGGGCCAGCAAAGCCTTCTCTGCTGGCCTAAACACTATTTAGAATCACTGATTTAGTTTTAATATATTTTTCCATGAATGTGTATTAAATTATTTCCAACAGTCTATTCTCTTCATTTCATAGCTTTTCTCTTGGTTGCACGGCTTCCAGCAGTGTATGTTTATATTAGAGCTTTTATCCAATCATATTTCAGCAATCGTGTTGCCAGGGTCAAAGAAATCTGCCTTAAGGCCTTCAGAATCAACAGTGCAGGCGTCTGTTAGCTTAAATCAATGGCAATGAAACCGTTGCTTTAACCAATCAGATTTCGAGTTGGCAGCACCAGGGCCATCTTGCTGGCTAACGATAACGTCAGCATTTTCTCGTCCTTTGATTGGATGGTTAGCATACTAGCTAGCAAACAGCATCACTGTAAATCATTTTATTAAAACTTAGTAAAACTTTTATTACTGTTTCTCAGGTTTAGATTTTCAGTGCATTTTGAAAAAATATGTGCCTACTATATTTAGTAAATCTAAAAACAGTAGTCCTAATGACTGCGAAAAACAACCACACACCTCCTCGGCACCGGCTCTGTGAAAGACTC